GGGGGGCACAAGGGGGGACTGGGGGGACTGGGGGGGGGGCATTTGCCCCCCCCCAGCTTGTATGTTAAAAAAGGCCCTGAAATGCACGTAACAAATCCATTATCGATTTCTTCGAATTTCTTTTCTTTTATGCTTTATGGCAGAAAATAAATCAAACAAATAGTATTTTGAAGGTCTTTATCAAGATCTTTGACGAATTTTGGACACACGACGCTGAAAGAACAGCCAAACTAGTCATCTATTCGAAAGTTTGTTGTTGACAGCCAAGATGTTCTGCCAACTGGCTTCGCCGGCAAAAGTCTTATTTTTAATATCACGTCCTACCGGCGTTGTTTTCTGAGCTACATCGCCTTCTTCGTGGTACGATTGAGAATTTTATTGTTGCTGTCATAGACGGATTTTCTGGGGGGGTGCAGGGGGGTGCTACCCCCCCAATATTAGCTAAAACCACCCCAAACAAAATGTCCACCCCTCCAAAAAAAATTTCAACCCCCCCCCCCAATATTCGGCATAATAAATAAATAAATAAATAGTCCACTCCAACGTGCAGAGTGTTGATGATACAAAATAAACGTAGGAGTACACTCGAACAGAAAAAGACAGTGCAACACTCTGAAACTAATCGCTCCTCACTTGCATTCACTCGTTTATTGGAGGAATTGTAACGTTTTGAAACTCTATTATCTTCCCTGAATAGAGTTTGCAGTGCCTTGTCATGCAAATAGCTTGCACGCAAGGAACATTTGGAATTTTTACGAACACTATTTTTAGTTTTTAATTCTTTTAGGAAATAGACTTGCCTAGATTTAATCTTTACGCCTCAAATATTATTTACATCGGAGTTGCATCATAAATTGTACTCGGATTCAAACAACACAATGTCAATGACTTTATAAAAGTAAAAGCATATTGTGTATTGGCCTATTGGGTTTACACTTTTACAGGTTCATTTCAACTCTCTCAAGTCTCAACAATGGGACATGCCAAATCCATTGATATGACAAATTGACCACTTCAAAAAACTTTTTTCGAAGCTAGAAATCATGATTTTTTTCAAATTTTTGCTGGGATACTTTGTTTTCCGCTCTCTTGACCCCCCTCGCGGCTCTAGTGCTCCACCCCTATAGAATCTATATAGACCTTACTGGGGTTTGGTGACACTTTGTGCTGCTTCAGTCACCTGCTCACGGCTCACCCCCCTAAAATTTCTGGCACCACCCCAGTAATAAATATGAAAATCCGTCTATGGTTGCTGTTGTTAGCCCGTTAAAGTATATCCTTGGTATATATCCGCGTCCAGCAAGATGAGACCTTGACAAAGCTTGGCGACTAAGCTGTACACAGAACTGACTAATTGAATCTTCGTTTGCTGTTCGGTTAAATAGAGAAACTGACTCTTAATTATATAAAAGTACCTTGAATTTTTAAGTTTAATTAAAAAGCAAAATGCACACTCTGCGGACATGTTCATAAGAATATAATTTTTTTGCGTAACGGAATCTATAACACTTGTCAATCATATTGCATGCTGTGTCTAAAAATAACATGTGAGCGTCCCACGGTCTAGACAGGTTTTGTGTCAGGCGCTATTTAAAATTAGGGCCTGAACTTCAGGTTAAGTTAGCATGTTCTCATAGGTTGATATATAATTAACTAAGATTTCCGAATTATACGCCACGCCTCCAAAAAACTTCTTATGCTAGGAGCGGTCATCTCATTGGACGATTCTAAATGTAATTGACGTTTGAGCAAGAATACTGGCAAAGGATTGAATAACTTTGATCTCCGACGTCACTTTCCTGTGATAATTGCTCGAAACCAAATACAGTACCGTTTCGTTCCTGCGGGGAACGAAACAAAAATTCGGGTATGACCGGTCAGGCCGTTAAATGGAAAGCGCCCTATAAACCCATACAGATCGGCCGACCACACATGCTTATCTATTTAATTATTTAAAGCATTAACACGAACAGTCAGAAACCACTGTCTTTATATTTCTTTATCACCATGCGACAACACATAGTTATGGACAACTTTAACTATTAATACTATCAATAATACTCTACCAAATCCATAACTCAGAACTACAACCACACATCGCATTCTGTATACCAATACGACTGCTTCGTCATATATATAATATAACTAGACATTTTACTATATAGATAAACCATAATTGTAAAAATTATACCAATTATGAATTATTCAAAAGGAACCATTTAGAGTGTGTATGACTTGGTATCACACCGGTATGGAAAATGCATGACGCAAGAACCATCACCACACACAAAATCATACCAAAGCAACACGTGCATGTATGTGCAATTACAAAAATACCCGTTAAGCGGAGAACTAGGCTTGCTATGGTAAACAGCGTCTTATTGATTGAGAACACAAACAAGGATACCTGTCGAAATAATCTCCTCCCATGCACTGATCTCGAAATAAGACTGGGTTGATTACTTGTGTTAATAAAAACGAAATGTGCATTCCTCGATTTAGCCGCTAGTATGTTAAATGAAAAACAGTTTAGCATTGTCTCTTGAGTTTCTTGCTAAAAAGTTTGCTAATAAATTGGTATACATATACACAATGTTTCATACAATACTTATAGTTACGAAATCTCAGTTTTGTCCAACATGTTTTGTCCCAGTTGTTGGGTACAAATAATTTTAACCATTTTTATTCTTTCATGTAGTATGATACAAAGTGGATGCATCAAACTATTAACAACCATTTTGCAAGTCTTCATACCACAGAATCTACCATGTATAACTTTAAACAAATAGATAGGCGAAATTATTCAAACAAAACAGATATAGTTTTTAGAAAATAAACAATAACATATATTGTATCTGTGGATACTTCAGACAAAAGTCCTAAAGTACCCAAACTCTAAACTCTCTTCCGGTCTGCAGGGCCTCACTCATTCCCATTCCTCCTCATCATCTCCATTTTGTTGTGCATTGGATGATGTATTTACAAACGAGACGTTGGTTGTCTGTCGAGGTTGTGAATTTCTACCGCCGCCAAACTATAACAAAATAGTTAAGATCATTAGTCAAATACAATAGGTTTTTAATCCATGAGCAGTTCCGGGCGTTAGCCCGGGGCGAGGGTACTAATTCCGCCCAGCTATTTACACCCGGGGAAAGGAAAGCGTTAGCGAAGTCTAAAGTTCATCAATGATCGCAGGCGCGTGATTATGGTTCATGGGTGGACTTCACTGATCTCAAAAATATGGCTGTTTGTCAGAAGTGAGATCACTGAGTGGGATACGCAAGATTTCAATTTTCAAAAGCATATATTTGGAAAATCACGTTTCACACAATGAGCGTTGAAGTAATTTTTGTTTGAAGAAATGAGAAGAAATATAGGACGCAAGTTTGAATGTTTCATGTTTATTAATTTTGTTGCTTTAATTTAATATTGCGTAACACACGCACTGCTTCCTTTTCAATGAAGCTGTAAGTTTGCTAAATTACCCTGTTTAATTTAAGAAAAAAAGGCAAAATGTAAAAAGGAGAGCAAATTAATTTGAAAACCGAACTGAAATTACTCAACAGTTTTGTTTTATTAATATTGAAAACAGTTTATCGGAAAAAGATTTTAATAGTTATTAAAATGAACATATCAAACATTTTACGAAGCGATTCAGGTTAAATTTTGCATTAAATCAAAGCTCACAAAATGCAGAACAACATACCTACATTACATATTTCAGAAATTCATTGTTATACAGTTAAAAGCAATAATCGTTTAACTATTTTTGGCGGGTTGTACAAAAAATATAATAATCTTGTAAAAATATAAAATTATCGTGTTGCCATGCCAACACCACAGAGGAGATATCTCTCTTCTCTGTGGCAACACTGACGTAAACGCGAGCCTGCGTTCAGTGTTGATCAATTACTAATACTTCATTTTAAATCAACGTTTGGAAAACATAGACGAGGGGTTGCTGCATGCATGTATTTCTAGTACAATATGAAGCGCATACTTTGAATTTCAGGGGCTGTTTATGGCTTGCCGCTCAGGCGAGAAGTGTTTTTCGAAATTGTGTGTTTTCATGATAGAAGAGACGCCCTTAATTCCTAAGGTGAATTATATCCCTCTTCCTTAGCTCAATAACAGTATTCAGTTGTGCGTTAGTTATCATTCGATAAATTATGAACAAAATATAATTTGGACTTTTCCTTCGTGTACAGTAGTTAGTAGTTAGCATGAGAATTTCATCAGGAGCATTTCCGGTTTGTGTGAAACTGAGGAAAGTGCGTCCCAAAGGGTGAAGGGAGGGTGATCGAGAGTTTTGTAAGTTTCCACAAACACACTCATAATGGGTGAAATATTAAATTTAGTGATGACTCTTCATCCCTTAGTTATTCAATCTCAAACAAGGGTTCTTCGGTATCAACTAGCGACTCGTGAAAAATCAAGCGAAAACGTCGTTGTCAAAATGTTGGGCAGTATACATTCTCATTTCATACCTCCCTGTGGATGTGCGAAACGGTGTTCATTTTTCGTATACAGCTATTTCAATTAAGGTTGTCCCCCGAGCAAAGAGGAAAAGTCGAATACGAGCGTGAAAGGCTGCTGGGAATCGCTAATAAATGAATGAATCTATTAGCGATTCCCAGCAGCCTTTTGCGCTCGTATTCGACTTTTCCGCTTTGCTCGGGGGACAACCCTAATTGAAATAGCTGTATATACATAGCCTTCAATGGCTCGGTATAACCATAGCCTATCGAAGGGAAGATGGCTGTGAAACTCATTAGAATAACAATATAACTCATTATCTATGTTGGTCAACGTTTATTCATAAATCTGGTCCTTCACCGTAACGTGTGTATTGTATTCTTGCCCAACTAACCAACAGGGTGTTAGCCAGGACGGCCACTTCTGAATTTGGACGGCTAAATTTTAATGGACGGCCATGGACGGCCTAATGGAATATTTTCAGTAAATAGCAACCTACAAGCTTTGTAATATTTCTGGAATACTTCGCGCCATATTTTTGTGAAACGCGCTATGTTTTTGTGACCATTTTGATGATTCTCGCATGAAGTATCAAGGAAAATGCGAAACAAAACAGCAATCGCTTTATCGCTCGAGCGCCATGTTACAGTTACGGTAGTGATCATATCATGCGTGTGCTTTTACTAATTTAATGACGGAAATGTGCATCTAAAACTAAAAGTAAAAAGGTTCAACGAATAAAACACCACAATTCCTCAACAATAGAAAATTGCGACCACGCCCAAAAATATGTGACCACGCCCACAAAAGTATGTTGCCACGCCCACACAATTATTTTGGACGGCCACTTTTGAAATCCTGGCTAACACCCTGCTAACCAATAGCAATGTTTTAGGAAAGTCACCTATCCGTGACTCGAACAATATAGGGAAACTGGAAATTGCTATTGGTGGATTTGGTAAAAATACAATACACACGTGACGGTGAAACGACCAGATTTATGAATAAACGTTGACTAACATAGATAGTTATATTGTTATTCTAATGAGTTTCATTCTAATGAGTTTCACAGCCATCTTCCCTCGATAGGCTATGGTATAACAACAGCCCTTATTTTCAAGGTTCAATACATAAGTTCTCAATCGAGGTAATGGTCCTGTGACTGACTTACCTGTCTTGTGTCGCGAGAAGCAAACTTGCCTCCAGCAGGTCCGTAGTTAGTTCCCAGTGCCCGTTCGGCAACTTCTTCAAGCCAATTTGGTACCTCTTGCAAGGCCTAAAAATGCAATGTTTAATAATAATTTAATAACAATCCTTTTGTAGGAGAGTAAGACTTCGGATAGCAAGACCTCGCTAATAAGAAGCTTTGGTGACGTAGTCGTCACAGCAAGTTTCTTACTTCATCCTTGGCCATTTGATTCTCGCTGCAGATCCTACTCACGTGGAAGAGATTGTCATTGATTTTGTCTACACGTATAGGTTCTCATGGAGGCGTAATTGTTGTAAAGATAAATTGGGACTTTTACTGTACGCGTAATGTCATGTCTGTAATCAGGCCTAGAAAATATATTTCTGTTCCTGGCAGCAAAACCCAAAAATAAAAATTTCCTGTGTAAGTCAAATATAAAACGTCCTGCAAATGTATATTTCGGAGAACGTATGGTGCCGCACATTGTGATAAACGTCAATCTCGGCACAAGACAATCTGGACTTGCAAATCGCTTTTGGAATTTTTAAACAGTTTTAGTAAATTATATGCATTCCTGCAAGGTGTAAGAAAATTTCCTGCGAAGATATTTTGTTAAAAATTCCCTGACAGCGATGCTGCTGACGCTACCGGACACTTTCCAGCATTGTCTGTAATCATAATATAATTATTTTATCGATCACTGATAGGCTATATTCATAAGGAGTGACAGTAATCCCAACTGTATACGAAAGCTAGCTCTGCTCTCTTAAGAGAACAAACGAAACAAGATCTTGCCTAGGGGAGGCGTAAACTATCCATAATAAAAAGAAAATTTCCCATAAACGTACATCGGCTAAAACTTTCACAAGACTTCTTGCTAACTTATCATCCTTTCCACGTTCAAAGAATGCCGAAGCTTTGCCTTGGTTTCCAATCCTACCAGTTCTGCCAATACGATGCACATACTCTTCAATTTGTTGAGGCAAGTCATAGTTGATCACGCATTTAACATCCGGGATATCCAAGCCACGTGCAGCAACAGATGTTGCAATGAGAATGGGCGCACGGCCAGCACGGAAATCACGAAGTGCCTCCTCACGTTCTTGTTGGGTGCGGTCCCTTAAGTAAAACACAATAAGTACAACATCATCAGGAGAAAACAGGGCCATTCAGATGGAAGATAAATTCAGACCTGAAAAAATTGTTTAATGTTCCTCAGATCCTGAATTTGGCTTTTTCAAATGTTTCTCAAAAGTGCGTGAAAATAATGGAACATTTGACCGTACATTACGCCAAATTTGAACGTTGAACAACACTTCACTATCTCAAATGACAGATAAAGAAGTATGATATGATTCCTTAATATTCTCCCATGAAATATATGTGTTATTTACCGGCTGGGAGGTCCGTACTGAAAAATATTTTCCCGAGGTTTCAGAAGCGGCCCGAAGCCGAAGGCTGTTTCGGAGGCAGAAGGAAAATATTTTTTAGTACGGACCGACCTAAACGGTAAATAACGTGTTTATTTTTTATTTGATGGTTCTTGGTTTTAGTGAAATTCCGATAAAATTCCAGTTGCGAAGTACATTTAAGATCAGTTGGGTTTGTTACTTTAGTGCAAGCATAACTGCTAAAACGATGCGATAAAAAGCTGGATAAAGAGCTTTTAGTTTCAACGGAATAGATGCTTTTCTACTCAACATGCAAGACAACAGAAGGTAAACTAAGTAAAATGATTACTTTTCGGATCGTTTTACAAATTCTTTTAGACAGGCAACTACAAATTTTAGTTACCAAAAAAACAAATTGTTCATTACAACATTTATAAATTTAAAACAGTTTTGACCGAATTAAGCAAAGTAATCGTCCTTAAAGTTAAACTGCCGTTTAAGGTATCTTTTTAAAATTTTATGTTTAAGGAATATATGTGGAGCATTTGAATCAAAACATGTTAGCAGCACTGGCCAGTGTTTTTTGATGTTTATATTTGGGTTTTTTTTCGCATTTTGGTCGGAGAAAAGTACATATCGGGCTTGGCACTAAGTCCATTGAAGTAAATTCACTGTATTTTGCTAATCGATAGCGTGGATTTTTCGGGTAGTGTTTTGAGTTTGAAAATTGTCTTCGCTCTTCGGTTTGTCGCTAAAAAAATAACTCTTTTGGACCACGGTCAAGATATCGTAAAAAGTTGCCCGCTCCTGCAGCCAATCAGATTATAGGAAATAAAAAATCACTATAGGCACGCACAAATATAAAATGTGTGAAATATAAAAAAATGTTCCTCAACCTTCTTGTTAAAAGGCACATGTTTCTCAGAATCCCAAGATCCCACTTTGTTTCAGGTCTGGTTAAATTTACAGTTGGGTGCGATTCTGCGTTCTCTCGACTCTCGAGATTTTAACGCCACTAATTTGTAACGTTTAAACGGGCAGTTTAAATTATGCGTCACACAGAGTATGCTATCCACGTATTTGTTCGTAATAATAGGTCGCGAGTGAAATAAGAAATGATGTCCAAGCTGGTCCACATAATAAGTGGCGACTTACAGGACTTTACATTACAAGAATATGTATTTGCCATATATTCCTCCCGTATGAATGACTCTATTATGCTGCATAGACTGAAATAGTTATTATGAAACTTCTGGAATGTTGGGCCCAGAGTCCTCAAACACATCTAAATTGGAACTAGGGATCCAAGGATAGTGTGAATTTTCAAATTGAAAAAGACACTGCAAGAACTATATAGGGTCGTCGACAACCTAGAAAAGCTGATGGCTTATACTACGAAATAAACAGTTACCAAAGGCATTTCATCTCATTATTTATTGCTTTTAATACACTCGGCACACAAGTAGCGTGACGTTTGAAACAAGCCTAACACATCAGAAACTTGCCTTGTGAAACTGATGCAATTTATCTATTTATTGTGATGCTACACGCGACAATTCGAAATTTAAATTGGTTCACCAACAACCAAATTTTGCATATTCTAAATTTTTATTTGCATTTGCAGCTGTCGCTAAAAGCATCCCCACGAGGCTACTGCTATGCTAAACTTATCTAAAACTATAATTGAAATAGCTGTATAAGATATGTTATGAATAATAAGCACTACGTCGTTACATCATTCAAAGGACGCGTTTTATCCTCATCCGTTCGTTTATCCCGTTATCCGTTCCGTGGATCCGCTTCATCCGCTTCCGCATTTTAACTAGCCTGCTCACAGACGTTGTAGTTCTTACGCCAAGCGACGAAATACTACCGTCTGCTTACCCGAGCGCCAAACTGAATTCCGCTACGTCGACCAATCAGAATTTACCTTCCAAATTCTGGAAAGTGACGTCAGTTGATTTAGGAGCGGAATAATTAACAATTATACCATGAGCTCGAGTCGTATATGAGCTGATAGCCGACGAGGTGCGTAGCACCGAGTCGGCTATCAGCCATATACGACGAGAGCGAATGGTATAATTGTTTTATAATATAGT